GTCCGCACAATTTTGTCTTACATATTTTACGCTCACACAACCCGCCTCTCTTCTTTTTCAGATAGCCCATGATGTCAGAGTAAAAAAAACCTGAGGACCCTTTCTTTGTTTGGGCCTAATTTATATAATTCCTTTTGTCAGGGGAAAAAAAAGGGCCCCGCACGTAGAAGATGTACTAATCTTCATGATTTCTTTGTTTGGCCTAATTTTCTTAATTAACATTTTTCAGCTATATAAAGCCATATTCAAAAATTAGGCAAAAAGTTAGTTATATAAGTACATTTTACATGCTTTTTGCTTTTTTTCCTCATAAAACTTCAACGGAGTTCATCGGTTGACATATCCACACGAAAGCCCACTCTAAATTCTTTTCTTAAGACCCGGCAAATAACAGATGAAACAAAATCGCTTCAATAAATTCAATTCTAACATCGAGTGAAAAAGGCGTAGCCACCATCTCCACATTTAATATAAACGGCACCTTTTTTTTGGCAATTTGGATTGTGGAATATTACAGTAACTACATTATGTTAAAGTTAAAGTACAAAGTAAAAACCAAGTCGCACGACCTTTGATAAGGCTCATACGTATGAATTTATAACCAAGATCAGAAAACAGATAATGAAATTATCGCCAGCGGGAGTTCAAAGTTGCTCGGTTATGTATGGAAGGAGGGCTTTTGTGGTATTTACAAACACGTTCTAACCAACACGAACATGTTCGTTTTGGCTTTTGTGGTCCTCGTCTGAAAAATCTAACAATCGCTAGAAGGAAGGTTTGAACCTCCGACCTTGTGGTTAACAGCCACACGCTCTAACCAACTGAGCTATTCCAGCAATTGATTAGTTAGTAAAATTAAAAAGTAATAAAGTAAATCCTACAGAATTTAGAATAGTTATAAAATTAAATATTAGTAATATGTAATTTTCATTTCAATATATTATGTTTCTATTCTTAAATTATTGTTATTAATTTATTTTTTCCAAAAGTAAATGATGATAAGTATCTTGCATTTTTAAGTTATCGATAAATATTTATTAGTTTTAAAATATAGATATCTGTGATTATTTCTTAAAAGGTTTGAAATTTGAATCCTAATGTTTATTTTTATTAATTACGTTGATAGAAGTATCACCTTCAACATTATCTTCGATGGAGGCGATGACAAAAACAGATATACGGGGAAACATTATATGAGTGTTTTCTTTTAAAATAAGAATTTTGAAATCTAAAACTGGACGTTCAATTCTAACAGGTAAAGCTTCGCACTGATTTTCGTTTCGGACACGGTTTACGGGCCAACATTATTATCATTCCCTCGGATTCTATTTATAGAATGGAGAGAAAAAACAATATCATTTATAAATTAAAAAAATGATAATAAAATTTTTTTGAATTATATAAATAATATTTTGATATCTTAAAATGTCATAATTTACCTAAAGTTGATAAGAATTTTTCACTTATTAAAGAATTAATGTAAATGATCAAATTTTTTTAATTTAAATATCAATTATTATTTATAAATTTTATTTTAAGATTCACAACTTTTCTTCTTAAAATTGTAAGAGTTCAATAGCAATTTATAAATTTACATTTAAAATTATAATATTTTTTAAATATTGTAAATATTAATTGTCATTAACAAATTTTGTTCTAAAATGAATAACTTTTCTTCTTAAAATCACAAGAATTCAACAATAATTTATAAGTTTGAATTACAAAAAATTTAATTATTTATATTATTTCTTAATGACAAAAAAAAATTCTCAGAGACTATAGAAAAATCATAACATTTCAGGACCAAAAGATCATTTATATAATTTAAAAAAATTTTATTATTATTTTTTCTATAAGTTATATTGTTAAATTTTCATTACACATTTTTCTTTTTATAATGTTGGAGAGAGAATATATTATTAAAGCATGTATATTTAATAGAGATAAAATTAAAAACTTATTTAATTTTTAGATAGAGTTAATGAGATTTAAATTTTTTCTAATTATCAATGAAACATATTAAAAATAATTTATAAATAATATTAAAAAAGTTTTTTTTTACCGTGCCAACTGATAATATGAGATCTAAGATGTCCTTATAATTACATTAACTAGTTAATCACCCTTGCGTTGTATGGGATATTACTTTTACAGCGTCTTCTAATTATTAGATGGCGGCAAATTATACATATAAAGTAATTATATGCCTAAAACAACAATAAAACATAACTATTCAGCGAATGATTAACATTATGGTGGTGCAAAAAAATTGTGGTGATAACATGATAGATAAATTTTAAAAATTTATATGATGACAAACCCAATAGTCTTTTATAGTAAATAAAAAAAGATAGATACTTTGTAAAAATATATTGGGAATGAATGTAAAAATTTGTTATATCAAATAAAGAGTGAAAAAAAGTTTAACAAAATAAAAAAAACAACAACCTTAACAGATAGATAGCTGCAATACATTAGTTAGATTGTTAAAAATCTTCCTGTAAATTATGTCTTCTGATAACATTTGTGGGCTATATCATTTGTATCAAGAATTAATATTTTTAACCCTTTCTTACTTTGCATTTGAAATACATCTAACATATAACTGTCCATGTATCAAGACAGGTCTTAGTAAGTACAACTCAATGCTAAAAAAGCTTTTTATTAAATTGACCTTGCATGTCCTATGTGCTTCATCATTTATGTCATTGTCATCCATATATTTTAATTTAATACTAGTGTTGGGATGTATGTCTTTCCATCTTGAATAAAATTTTGTATTGTCTTGATTTTTTTAAAGAAAAAATGTGGGCCTTAGAATTTTATAATAAAGATTAAAATACATTTTTAGATTATTTTAAAATATTTACAAATTAAAAATTTAACAACGCACTCAATTATATATAATCTCCCCATACAATATGAACTAAGTTTTAAAAGATTAATTAATATTTAGTATGAATATGTGCTACTCTCTCAATTAAAAATTAAAAGGCACTTTTAATCAAATATCATCTAATAAAATAATTAATTGACTTCAAATTAACGTCATTTTTATACTTACCTTCATTTAATAAGGTATATTGTTTTAAAATAAATATAAATTTATTTATTTATTATGAGCACTTTTAAAAAATACACTAATCACATTTTAAAATATTAAAAATATTTTATATTTTTAAACAAAGTGAATATATAATTTGATCATGGTTTTTTAGGTTAAGTTAACAAAAATTCAATCTTCATAAATTTAATCTTAAAATTTTTTAAATTTATTCGAGTTAAGATTTGGATCACAGTAATATTATCTCGAATAATATTACCTGCGTGTGCCATTGATTACATGTACGACTCAAGGCAGCAGGTAAATTCGGACGAGCTGGATTTTTAGGAGGGAAAAAAAAAAAGCAGTCGGTAAATTTAAAAAATCGAGAGTTGATCATTGCGCCTTGAGAATTTGTCATTTGAGAAGTGAGAATACGCCCAAGACCAGACGACACCGGAAAAGAGGTGGCAATATAAAAAGATTTGCATCTAGAAGATTAATGCCGGGAGAATCGGGAAAAATCAAAGATTTGCATTTTAAAAACCAGAGATGCGATATGCTTCATATTTGTATGAAAATATTTGTTTATCTAATGGTAATATTTATTGGACAAGGGTTAATTTAACGTGTTCATGATATTTTGGGTATATTTATCTAGGAATATAGTTTTACTAAATAGTAATATTTAAATAACGAAGTGAATTTGGCTGTGGAAAGAGAAGATTAGAAGACTTGGCGGAGTCGGCTTTGCTTCACTGATGCCTTGCTCCTTTGAGGCTCTGCTGCTGGCAGAATAATTTAAACGGTTCAAATTTAATATTTTATTAAATTTTTTTAATAAATTTGGTTATTAATTTAAATATTTTAGATTTAATGTTAATGATCTAATTTTTTATAATAAAAATATTTTTTTTCAATATTAATAGATAAACTATACTGTTCAAAATATATCTAAATAATTAATGTATAAAATTTTTAATATTAAATCTAGATCATTCATATTAAATTTGTATTGTCTAGAGTATATATATGCTTGGATAATTAATTTATAAAAAATTAGATATTAAATTCATATCATGAATATTAAATTTGAATTGTTTAGAGATAAATGTGAAATTTAAGGTGGGCCAAACTCTTAAAAGCTAAGGCCATAAAGCCCACTTACCTTAAAATTTGACTTGATTCTGACGTTTGACCCTTATTTTAAGGGTTTAGAGCCAGATTCTTAAATCTTTGTTCTTAAAAAAAAAAATTAACATTTTAATTTAAATAAAATATTTTAAAATTCAATGTGAAATAAATCAAAATCTCAAATAAAATTTAACATAACATTTGACAAAGATTTAAAATTTTAAATTTAAGATGAAGATCAAAATCTTTATTAATATAAATTTAAATCCTCCTCCTCATCATCTAAAAATAAAATATTAGATTTTTCAGATGTAAATTCACTCATTAAAAATGGAAGTGAAGATTTAATGTCAATTATCTCTGTAATTTTTTCTTTATTACCTACAATAAATATTAATAAAATTATGTTATTATTAATTAAATATGTGTGTGTATAAAATAATTAGGCCTACTAGAACTTGAAAAGCTGCCCAAGTCCGAATCCTTTTTTATAGAGCTTATCAGGGTCAGGCCCCAAAATCAGATTATTTTAAAAAAGTTTAACTTTTAAAGCTCAAACTTTTATTTAAATAAGATTTTTAAGCCTAATCCTCTAAACTTGACCTTTATTTTTGACTCTAAAATTTGTTAAAAACCTTTATATTTTTATTATTTTTTATTTTTAATAAAATAAAAAATAAAATATTAAATCTGGACCGTCCAGGTTTAATCTGGACGGCCGAGATTCTGCTGCTATGCAGCGGATCCTCGGAGGAGCGAGGCATCAGCGGAGCGAAGCCGAGTAGAGGTGGCGTGGTGGAAGAAGGAAAGTGAGCGTGCCGAGCGGTGGCCATTCATTTATAAGTAGAATTGGTCAGTTGAATTTACCTTTTCGTACGCCAAAGTCCAAGCCAGTTCCGCCAGTTCTCTCAAATCAATTTGCCGTGGGAGCTTTTTTTGGGCCCTCTGCCGCCCTCCTCCTTCCTCCGAATCATCCCCGAAGGTATATATCTTCATCTTATTTCCTATATCTCCCTCTTCTCTTCAATTCCTCCTACCTCTTGTTCCTCCTTCGCATAATTCCCAGGCCTTCTGCCTTCTGCCTTGTCCAACACCAACCCAGGTCAACAATCGCACAAACCTCACCCCGACTTGAACCCTAAAAAATCACCTTCATTTTCCAATAAGTTAATGGATGCTTATTTATTTAATTCCCTGTCATATTCTGTTATTGTAATCTTCGATTAGTGGGCATAGTTATTCTTTACCTTTTGTTTTTGAAGGGATCGAGAAGAACATCATGGGAAGCAAAGCTCCGAATTGGGCAGACCAGTGGGGAGCGGGTGGGTGTGGGAGCGATAGCGATAATGAGCAGGTGAAGAAGCAAGGCGGCGGCGGCGGCAAGATGGCGAATGCCAAAGCGAAAGCATCTGCGGGAATGGACAAAGCGAAAGCAGCGGCAGTGGTGGGTGCTGACAAAGCCAAGGAGGCGGCGGTAGTGGGCGCCATGAAACTCAAGAGCGGCACCTCTGCTGGTCTCAAATGGATGAAGAATCAATACCGCAAGAGGACTTCTCCCTCCGAGTGAACCCAGTCCCGTTCTCCGCCTTCACCTTCCAAAATTATGATCACATCAGTCGACACTCTTGTTTTTGTTCTTAGCTTTCATATGCATTCTGGCCTTCCCATACGCGCTAGACTCGTTTTGCTTTAAACTCTAGACACGTTTTGCTTTAAACTTGCTCAAATACAGTTGCACTTCCAATATCACATCTGTTGATTCATCTTTTAATTCAAATCGAACAAGCAACCCTTCTCAACTGTACCGTCCCTTTAATACACTTTTTTTTAAACGACTTTCAATGCCAGCTGAACTAACCTCCGTATATAATCATGTACTTCATTTTTCAAATCAAATATTATACAAACCGTACTGGAGTGTTCGTGCTTATCATTTATTCGGATGTAATTCTGTTCAAGATTTACACAACATTCTCTATAATGAACATGATAAGCAATCGCATTCTGTGCACAGATTATAGGACATAATTTTGCGCCTAAATGTAATCATCATTACTTTATGCGCGTAAATCTATATTCCATAAAGTATCTTTCTAATCCTTTTTATACAAGTTCCTTATAAAAGAGTTACACAGCATGTTTCAAGATATCTGTATTTAACTATTTATTAGAGAAAATGTTTTTTAAACTGTATGGTACTTATTAAAGGTTATGATGGAATCCAAAGCTATTTCCGCACAATTTATTGATACAACTATTTTTTATTTCCGATAACAGAATCAAAGGCGATTTATATTAAGGAGTGGAAGCAACATACTCTAACATAAAAATAAATCCTATCAAGTTTCAGTATTAAAATTTAGAATTTAAGACCTCTTACGACACCCACGCCGGTTTCACACCATTCAACCATATATTCTACCTATAATTTAGGGTCGGTGTCATTTCAGATAAAAATGCAATATTCATAACGAAAAACAAGGTTAAAAATACCAAAGAATTTACAACCATGCTAGCTTCTTCCCACTGTAGATTTATTTTCTTTTCAGAAATACGTATGCACATAGATTGCTGCAAGCCAGTTCAGATCATAGTCCCAAATGTGTTTTCCCCGCTGTAAGTCATATACAGGAACCCATCTTCATCCTTATTTTCCTCATAAACCGCAGAGATAATAGCAGCTACATTGACAGAAACCAACTAATCAGATCACAAATTACCAACAAAAATAGCCACCACTCAAACAAAACGAATATAGAAAAGTCCCAATTTGTTTACCAGTTGGAGGCAAAATGTTCTGGACAAAAATGAAGATGGCTTTCTCAGGACTCAACTTGATTCTCTTTCGAACCACATACACAAACTGGCCAACAGTCAAATCAGCTGGAACCAGATACCTAAAGGGTAAAAAATTATACACAATGAATAAAGATGAAAAGAGAGTGAAACAATAAAGATGAGAAGGGAGTGAAACAAAATAGATAGGAGGTGAATGCAGGTGATCTAGATCCTAACATCCATAACAGAACATGGAACGCTTGCCATTGATTGTCAAGAGAATTCAATGCTTTTACGCTCGCTATTGACATCAGCACAAAAAAAAAAAAAAAAAACATAAACATGCCTGAAATCTACCGGAGAGATGATTTCCAGGACCATCTAACTAATCTCTATGCTATTTGAACAGAATTCTATTTCTTTCATGCTATAAAAGGCTGTACAGCCTTTGGCTGAACTAATCAAAGATCAAATGTGAAGCTTCATTCATTTCTAGGAAACACACTGTTAAGAGGACAAATAATTACAAGGCAGACCCATTAAGAGTCAAGACCAATGCCATGCGGAAACTAGTAAGACCAGATTTGAACATTCTGACTAAACTGCGGAGACCATAGCTCCTCGCCTTGACCATTATGAAATGGCGATCAAATCAGTGGACGCTTCCAAAACATCAGATCATGCAATATGCCATGAAAAAGAGCGAACAGAGGCAGATACTAACTTTTTCTTATCGATTTCAGGAACATCACTCTTTTCAGCCCTCTCAACAATCACCTACGCCAAAACATCAACCAATTTAATAAGCAATAAGTGAGATTATAATGACAGCTGCACACAAGTGAAATGAAATCTCACAGGTATTCTATCTGGATACTTTTCTCTGATTCGAGCAGCTTCAGCCTGTCTCCTTTCTGTCACATATTATTAGGATGTTTAAATACTGAATAGAAGTTGGCCCATATGAAGTTAGGGATGGTGTTTATTCGATCCAGACGGCTTTCAGAAAGCTTGATATGGAGAAGGTCACGATGATATATAAATCAAACCACCAGTAAGCAATAAAACGGTATAACTCACATCTTAATAACTAACCCCATAAAAAAATTACTTCGGCCATCAACAGTGAGATAATGGGTATTTCAATCAAGCAACTTGTCCTTTCAACCCAAACTAGATGGAATCGGCACGAGGATTGAGTAAAACTTCATATCTTTTTCTTTTCGAAACAAAGGACGAACAACGGGGTTCAGAAATACAAATTCTCGCAAATCAAATTTTGCACTTCGGAGGATCTATTTTGGATAAAGATGAGACCAGAAACAAATGTTCATGTTTCAACAAAACCCAACTAGAAATTGCAAAGCCGATGTTTCCTGACCGGATCATGCAAAATTAAGATTCCTCACAGACGAAATCCTATCCAACAACCTAGAAAATGCAACTAAAATTAGAGAAACGGGAACAAAATAAAGATTAAAACAAACCTAGGGGGTGTTCCGTCTTAAACGAACTCTTCGCCATGGCAATAGTTCTGCAAGAATAAAAAAAAAGAGTAAACACGTAATTACGGAGTTAGGTTTTGCCAGGAAGGGAGCGATTGATCAATCAAACAACGGAAGAACAGAGATTAAATTAACTTAAAACAAGGAGGGTAAACCAGTAATGAGAACCAGACGAAAAAGAACGGCAAAATACAGAGGGGAAAGGGTAGTCCGGGAGGAACTCCAAAATAATTACATCGAACTTGACTGCAGGTTAAGGGAAGATTTGTTAATTCCGTTCCGTCTCGTTTACGCGCGCCCCTTCTGTTTTTTTTTTTTTTTTTTGGGGGGGGGGGGGCCTGAATCACTGTGGCCTGCGGATATTGGAAGATGGGAGTCCACTTTCTCATTTTCACCCCGGCATCGTCCACTGGACAGACTATAAGACTCCTTAGATGTCATGAAAGAGATTTGGATGAAATTAAAATAAGAGTAAAATTAAATTTTAAAAATGTGTTTGATATAAAAATAAAATCCTAATTTAATTTTAATTAATATATATACTTAAAATAGGAAAATATCAAGTTGTCCTTTTTTCTCAAAATTAAAAAAACCTCCAGTATCTTGAGTAAACAAAAAAGATAAGGGTAGCAGGGTTTATAAAATGAAATTTAATAAATTGAAACAATTCTGTAGTTATTGTCATGGAATTGCATTTTAGCCTTTTTGATTGAATCAAGATTCTTAAAAATTATGACTGTTACATATCAAACATACTTAAATTTGGATTCCCTCTTTAATTTCATTTTCGTCTTACCAATTCAATGATACAATCATGGCCTAAAATGTAAAACAGAGAAAAAATTGCATGGATGACACATATAATTAAATTATTTTATCAAAATAAAATAAAGCATATGATTTTTAATGACTCTGCAATAAGTGGATATTATTTACAAGGTTTAGTTAAATCATATATTCATCAATTTTTTTTTTCAATGATAAAAGCATGAACAAGTTAAAATAGGGTGTTTTTGTTGAAGCAAATAAATAAGAAATGAAATCTGAAGTGATGAGAAGAGGGAGGCATCGACATGCATGTGACGTTGCTGTTGATGGAGGCATGTCATGATGAGTCGTGAGGTCGGGTCAGGCTTCAAAACTGACCTTTCACGCCCCCCATACGCCCTCAAATAAATATGGTGAGTACGTACACATACATTCACAAGGCACGTTCTCATGCATTGTTTTAATCCCCTCGCACGCTTTTCACATTGCTTGCATTTCATCACTTAGCACGCCTTCCCATTGTCCGTCTTTGATATATAGCATATATAGGTGGTTGTTGCGAGGGGTATAATGTAAGAATCAGGAGCTAAAATGTGAAGGTGTTGGGGCGCAGAAGTAACGCAAGGTGATGAGAAGGAATATTGTCGGGGCAGGTTTTACATTCTCCGTAGATGCCTCCTCCTCTTACTCTGCTCCCACAACCATGCCTCTCCTTAATATTACTTCTAGACATCGACCTTCTCCCTTGTATCAGTTTGGCATGCTCCTTCACTACTATCCCATGAATCCTTCTCATATATATGAGCCCAGACTATGCATCAACCCTATATGTCCTCTTTATCGACATGTATATGCGTCTGGGCACAAGTTAATCATTTAATCATATTCGAATTTTGTCAGGTTGAATATTGGAGGCAGCTATCTAAAAAAGAAAAAAAAAAGATGTTTCTTACATTATCACAGACTTGAGCGTGAGATCTCATACCTGAGCAGTCATAATTCAGTTGACCAAGACAAGCGTTTTAAAACAAGTTCTGCTTTCTATTCTTTTATCTTCCCCGCCCCCAACACCCCCCCCCCAACAACAACAAAAAAAAAAAAAAAGGATAGCTGGACGGTCTCAATTTCTTACAAGGCTGGGACTTTGCCACTTCTGTAAATAGACAGACACGTCAAAGCTTCTTTTAATACGGTTTAATAATAAATCCAACTTCCTATATTACTGGCGTTTTTAATCAGAGAATTAAGTAATATATATTAAGAAATATATCACACACACGTCGGTTTTACCATTTAATTTTTAACTAATCTATTCTTTTTTATTTTTACTTATATTTTCAATTAAATGGGACTTATGTATTGATTTTAACTTTAGTACTATACTATAGTTTGTAAATCCTTTTAATTATTATATATTTTAATTGATAAATCATGTTCTATATTTATACTAATAGTCTTAAAGTATATTTAAAACATTTAATATAAAATGTGAGTTTATTTAAAAAGCTTATTTTTAAATAAATTTTTAGGTCAGATCAGTTTTTAAATAGGGTCATGCCTAGACCTTGAGAAAAGCCTTATTATACATATTTTAGGCCAAGCACAAATTTACTTTCTCCGTCCCTATATATAAGGTGTTTTTAACCAAATCTCTCATACTAATAAAGTTTTGTTATTTAGTTGAACTCACATAAAAACATAATAATTTTTCAGTTTTATCCTTAATAATATTATAATTAATATCATGATGGTGGTAGGAAAAATATGCAATTAATTATCTATTTTATTTTCTAAGATAAAGGTAAAATTATCTAATTACTTAAAAATATTATTGTCACCCTTTATATTTAAAAACAAAATAAATTTTTAAAAAATATTTTATATATAAGGATGAAAGAAGTATTTAACTAAAGACTAACTTAACTTAACTTATTTTTATCCCAACATGTAATAATCAAGGTCAAAAAACAATATGCCAGTACTATTGCCTATGCCGCCAACCCCCAAAAGGAAAAAGTGCCCGTGATACATACTATAGTAATATCCCAAAAACAATTGGTTTTATCGAAGATAGATGCACCTTTTGAATGCTTTTACAATAAATATTTTATTTATTCTGTGTTCGCGACATATTATTTTAATATTTGATTGATTTTACTGACTAATTTTGACTTGAGTGAGGTCAGTTCTTATTCTTATTATGTGAAAATTCTAGTACACGATTATTTTTTTCACCTGTCAAGTTTAGTAAAATGGACTTATATCGTGATAACGAGCCGAAAGCTTTTCTTGAAGTAGGAAAATTAAGATCCCACGGGTAAGCATGCATCATCCACAATTTGTCAGGTCATTCATATCCTATTCCAAAACCAACAAAACACAAGTACAGGAAGCCAAAAGAAATCAGGACTCGGCTAGTTTTACTTTCACCAGAACTCGTGGACATGCTAGCTCTTCACCATCATTCTACACTTACTCCCAGAAAAGAGTTACGGGCAGCGGCTACGCATGCGGGAAAAATTTCACATATAGATGTATGCTATCAGCTGCACAAGATAGTGAATCGCTGAACCAACCAAGTGCCTTCTGAGGAGTTGGTTGAGAATGGTGATTGATGACAATTGAGTTACAAAAACCAAAATCCATAAAGCAAAAGGTTGTTGGATGCTTGCTTCCATTCTTATTTTGAATTTGAATTCGACTGTTTGATCCATGTAGGTGCAGATATACAGAACCAACATGCCCCTCACTCTCCCCCAGAACCCATAAATGCTGGCATTAAAAGCTCCAGATTCGTCTGTTCTGAGCCATATCACGATTCCTGTACCTCCTTAAATTAATCTTCCAACTTCCTTAGTTGCTAGGTGGTTGGGAATTTAATGCAACTCCTTCAATGCTAGCATCACCTGCCATGTTTCGTGGTCTCTTATGTTGGCCCCTACCTCCTTTAAAGCTCGGTTCCATTTCTCTCTCTGTTCTGTACATCAACTACACATCCCAATATGTCCACCCCCCAAGCCATGATTCTTCTCCATTCATACTTGGCTGTCTTTCCCATCCGCAACCATACAACGGTATGTGAATTCTTCGTCACTATTTGTTAGCCCTTCTCATGGAAGGCCTTTTATGAGAGGTGAGTCTGTGGTTATCGTATACAGTCAAAACAGGCGAGGAGAGGAGGGGGTAGAGGATAGGCTTCACGGGATATTGGTGCGGTTCAATAAGAAAGCAATGCTCAAAATGGCGAGGGGGCTCTGCTTTTTGATTGAGCCGTGCCAATATCACGTGCCACTGCTCCCCCCTCCTCAACGACTTTCGTTTTGGTAACGTCTTACTCTGTGGCTATTCTTCTGATATTCTTTTTCCTAGTTTTACGGCGTCCGTTTGGTTTTTTTTTTTTTTTTTTGTCATTAGTTCTTTGCAATTGATGAATCACCTCGCGGAGACGAACATGAGAGGAGCACCTCAGTTCTGTTCGAGTTTGATGTCGAGTCCAACCGACACGTGAGCTGAGTCCCTTGTTCGGTTTTTCAACCCTTCTCTGCGTATATTATTCACGCATTTTATTCCCTTGATTCCTTCTTTTTTGTAGATGAACACTTGAATGCATTGGTGCGAATAAATGTTGAGGAAACTTCAGTGATGACAATCTTGAATGCATGAATTTTTAAATCTGCTATCTTTCTTTTCCTTTTTTATATTTATATTTAAAGTATAGCCACTAGCCAGTTTTAAATGTGTGAATTTTCACACGTTATGGCTAGATTGACCCGTGTGAAAAAGGGAAATGAATTAAAGCGATCTCCCTATTGCGGCAATATTTTGCATTGAATTTTGAGTGTTTTGGTAGCTTAAGCCACCTGAACAAAGGTTCGATTGTATATTTTGGGAAAAAACTGATATTGGTGAACATTTGAAATTTAAGATGAAATAATTTTTCCCCACTTGTCGGATTAAGGAGAAAAAATTTTGGAATACAACTAAATGCTGATGTACGTATACCGGGAGTTTACTTGTGGCAGTTTAAAGGAAAGGCATTTGAATGCAATTTAACCTGCTGCCTGAAGATAGCGTCGCCTGGCATTTGAGGGTTTACTGAGTTTCTACAGAGTTGATGATCACTGAAGTTACCTAAATGTTACATTACTATATTACATTATTACTCCTTAAGTTTCTTTTCCGGAACAATGCTTTGAGTACGATTTGTGGTACAAAAGCAGTTGAGGATTCCTCAAACTCATGCCACGGCGATATCCCCTTATTAAATGTTCCTTACTGCACATGCCCTGCTATTTGCGGCAATAAATATGCGTACCATACCCTCCAATGAAAAACCATTTCTCTGTATTTCCGTTTCTGTGCCTCTTTGTTTCCCACAAATTTGCATTAGTTCATTATGTTTTCGTTCTTCATCAGTTCGGCCCCTTCTTCTAGAGTGCTTAATCTCTTCACTGCGTGCCGAAAGGGAATTTTACGGGTAATCATTTGAGCATTTTGGACCTTTCTCACCAACATTAATCGGATTGGTTTTTTATGATGGCCTAGTCATAAGCGTGCTTTTTCAACTACTTCTAGATCCACTCGTTAATTAAGCCGGCTTTTTGACCTATTAACATCCCCTAACTTAGAAAAAGGTCTAAAGAAATTAGGGAAGGGGAATGTACTACATGTCCTAAGGGAGGTTCAAAGAATTTAAGGCATGCGTTGACTCAGTATCCGAAAAAGTAAACGGGCACATTGCCATCATCGTTCTGAGACTTAAGAAAAAGTATGCAAGGCTTACTGAAAGTGTATACCCGACTTGAAAGCTCAAGCAATTTATGTTATGCAGAGGAATTCTGTTTTTAGTAGTTCAGTACGTTAGGTGAGTAAATCCAAGTAGTGGAAGAAGACTGGCACGCGAATACAATAAGGAGATCATTAAGATTAACTCTGAAGAGTTTCTAGGTAGACAAACAGAAAGATCAGACTAAAGCAGAAGGGCAGCTACAGCCACCCAAATATATATCTATATTTATTAGGAGCTTGATTAGCCTTGCAACTATTAACATACGGAGTGGCCGCTCAAGCGTCAAAGAATGGGTGGTGTGAGTGGTGACTACATCAATTCCCTCTTCTGGTCGCTACCATGGTCAATCTCCTCTATTAAAATTCAGACTGTCCATGGGACGCGCCCCCCCCCTCTCTCTCTCTCTCTCTCTCTCTCGTAAGATGATAATATTTTAATGACAAAAATAAAGGTGGGGAAAAGGGGGGAAAAATTGAAGCCATGATTCATGGCGTGGTAATAATCTTCCCGAGTTAGGGAAGAACTCCACGTGGGCTCCTAGAAAGAGGCATTCCACAGAGCCTTTTCACCTTCTCCACATCGCCTATGAACCTCTTTGATCCTTTCGGCAGACCTGCAAATTCCACTGCAGCTCCAATCAAATGAAGCAACACAAACGTTGCCTGCTTGGGCCTTCCATTCACAATCTACAAAAGGAACCAACTCAATAATTCAATACTCCGTTCTTCTCATAATGATCCTTATTCCAGATAAATATTGATGCGATCCAATTATGTACATATCACAGAGAAGTATAACCAAAATCTTCACCTGGAGGAGTGCCACAGCAAAGTCTTCGATCATCTATATGCTCCACATCAAGTCCAATAAACCAAGCTCCCAGTGAGACATCCTCATTAGCGTACTTGTGAAGAACTTGCCTGAGACAATCACACCCATAAGCTATAAGATAGCAGGAGCATAATTTTAAAACCCTTCAGTTCTAAATTTTTAATCCAGTTACATTTTCTTCACAAGTGTGGTGAAGTATCTGGGGAAAAAAAAAAGTTTTGGTGGAGTGAGACTTACTGGTTAATTGATATATATGTAGCCAAATCTTTTGAAATGGCATACAACTGTCCTGTGGCATGACGGAAGTATTTGTTTCCAGTCTCACCAAATTTCCAGTATTCGGGTTCATGGTACCTTACCCCTCTGTGAAACAGATCAGGGAGATAAGAATTATAAAATTGAAGCCATGTCAGTAACTCCTCAAATATCAGAAGATAAAAGGGAAATTATTCTCACTTTTGAGAAAGGACGGGGCCAGATTTCATGCAACCAATGTATATTCGTGGTTTTGGCCGGTGTCTAACCAGAGTTTCTCCTAGTGTTCCTGAAACAGATTAAATACAGCTCCAAGATAAAGATTTCATCAAGCATAAATGATGCATGCATACAAGGGAAACATGAACCCATGGTAATAAGGAACGGATCTCATAGATTTATGGAAGTGCACAGTTGGTGGATATGTTCAATAAGCCAAGAGCTTCAATCGTTGTAAATTATAAGACACAGCTCATGATTTCCAAACTAAGAAAAAAACAAGGAACATAAATCCAGGTTATTTAAGCTTGTCAAAGTTTATATACCTATATTTACATGAACATCATCATCGACTTTCACATAGAAGTCAGCATCCCATAATTTAACAGCAGTCGCAAAGTATGTCCTCGTCTTTGCTGACAATTCAAGGTATCCCTCAACATGGTCCTGCAGAAACAAAGTGCACAGATTTGTAAATCTGTGGCCGTTTTTTTCTCTTGAAAAAGAGTAGTAAAAATGAGGGGAGTAGAATTTGGGTGGGAAGCAGCACTGAGTCGAAATGGGGCATAATAAATACCAGTCTCAAGAAATCCCCATGTTTGTTGTCCTCTGCTTCAATAGCTCTGTCTAGTATACCCCCCGAGGTAGCACTAAATAAAGAAAGGTAAAAACCATGTTAAATTTATTATTCATTCAGCATACTTTACGATTGATATAATGATGGTTTATTTCAACCATTTGAGGACATCACAAAGGCAAATGAATTTCACAAGTAGCAATGGACAGGGATGAGCGTGATTAGCAAACTAGAAACCTAGAGACTAAAAATTCAGCTGGAAAGAATAGTGATCCAGCCAATGTCTTCTATTCCCATGTTAGAGATTTAGCAGCTACCTGTGACCAATCACAAAGCGGACAACAATGCCCTTCTCTTCCTCTAGCTTCCTTTTCTTTTCACCTATCATCCAGGTTATCACAAGAACCAGTCACAGAAAACACACACAATAACGTGTACATACTGATATGAGGAACTTTGCCCCAATGAAAATGCATAATGGGAAGATCAGAAAACAGGCTTCAAATTACAAACCTCGCAGCATCCAGGTCGCACGAACTGAGTCTCTTCTTTTCCTGCTGCTAAAAGCAGTATTTATTCCTATGACCATTAGGTACCTTCTCTTACCAGGTGATTCAGATTCAGCTCTCTTAAGATCTTTTGATACAGGAGCACCATTTCTTATAGACTCCTGAGCTGCTCTTGCAGCAGCTAATTCCATCTCTAGGTTCGAAATTGTTTTATCCAAAGTTCTACATTTAATAACAAAGCCGCATAAGTTTGGCAAGCCGACCAAGTAACTGAAATTTGGACTTGATATCATGATATTTAACTTACTGTATGGCATTACGAGTCTCGGAAACTTCCCGATATATGTTTTTAGTGTCACGCTTCACTTCCTGCTCTTGCAACTGAAGGGAGGCCAACAGATATACATGCATAAATTTTTGAAGGATAAAAGTAAATTACAGGACTTTCAAAGGTACCGCATGGTGATCTAGGCTATGCTGCCTAGGAGTGGAAATGGCCATAGAGGAAGGTAGGCAATAAAGCCCATTTTCCCTCCTAGTAAGCATAACTTAAGTGTATTCTAGAAAGGGAAACGAAAGTGATGTTTAATTGCTTAATGCTTACAATTCTCGAATTACAACCCTCAGAAACCACATTCAATTTTTCTACCTCCATAGCTGTTGCTCTTGCCAGCCCTTTAGGTTCGGGAATAGTCCACATCCTGACACATTTACATTTTTCATCAGAAAAGTACCAGAAAACCGACATAAACAAGACGCCATGTTAACGTCTAATCTGAAATAATGAAGTATAGTACGAGTTTTTACGACCTCCTCACCAATATTTACGACTTCACTTTGTTTTAAAACCGTTCGGTACGTTAAAAATAGAAAACTAATACACCTCCAAAGACGTTGGACTATGCTTAATAAATAACTACCATGGTCCCAAAAATTTGAAGTTCATCTTTTAAAGTAACAAAATCGAAATTAACGGCTTGAGTTGCGAAGCGCAGGAGATAAACTGAACATGAAAATTAATAGAATGCCTTACTCATCGAGAAGATTGTGGGGATGGAGAGTAATGGACGCTTAGAAGATATATGAAGTACTTCAACAACTTCCTTTTTTTTTAATCTTTACTTATTTATTTATTTAATTTATTTAACTTTAACTGAATGAGCGGTATTTGAGCTTGCAGATGGCTCCCTAAATGTCATTACTGACAAATGAACAAAGACATAAATTATCACGAAATTGAGCAGAGCTGAAGGACCAGCGTCGACTAGTTCCAGAGTCAACTGCTGAATTAGCAAAGGAATGGCATCTCAAAACCCGAATTGATATGGCGCGTGTGTGTAATTCATGCCAATAGATATCAGATCTATCCTACTTCTGCCATGAATTGAGGTGGACATATAGTGACAATTTATAAGAAAGAGCTGACTCCGAAGTCAAAAGTTTCAGATATTAAAAGAGAGATAGGAAAAATACTGAATACATATAAGTTGGAAGGCTTTAGAATCAAATCTTTCAAATTGAGAAGCTTCCAGAAATTGGAATTCTAGTAAGACAATCAATGAAACACTCGAAAACCCAGTATCATGTTAGTTATTCGAATGAAGGACTGTGAAGATCTGAGAACAGGAATTATATGATAGACTGCCCTCCGAAGACTTGCCATGAAAGAATTGCTGGAATCCATTTTCGGAAACAGTGAAGAAAATTGTAAAAAGACCGAAGAGACTATGCATGGAAAATTAAATAGAACACAATATAGAGAAGTTCGAGACCTGTTGGTGAAGAGCATCCCGGCACAGAAACTCGCGAGACACAGAAAAAGAGCCCATTTCTGCGACACAACGCTCCTGGAAGATTGCTCGCCCCTGCTCTTCCAAGTCATTGTTTCTTCCAGGGGGCTGAAATTACGTTCTAACCCGGGACTCAAAACAGAAAAGCCATGCGAAGGATTAGGTGCAGAGACCAAATCAAAGGAAGTCAAAGCGAAGGAAGGGGAGGATACGAGGCGCTAGCAATCAAGAAACGCAAGGAGGAAAGCAAATATGAATATGAAAACGAAACCGTCAACAAGAAGGGTGAGGGAGGGACGGACACGAGAGAGAGAGAGAGAGAGATAAGTAGTGAGTTGATGTTTGTTCGTTTCTTTATGCTTATTATTCCTAAGCTTTGCTTCGTGGTTTCTCTCTCAAAGTGCTTCTCCCTCTCTCTCTTTGCAGGTGAGGGACGTTGAACAGAACAGGAGTGAGGAGACTGACTAACCGCCCTACCTCTTTTATATTTATATTTCTCTTATTACCAAACTGTCCCTATCACCACCACCCATCGCTTAAATGAACCCCCACTGTAACAGTTAACTGCGATCCACTTATGCCCCCTACCTTTTCTCTATTTCATGCTTAGTCTCAACTTTTTCTTTTCTTTTTTTTTTTCTTGTACACCCTGATCATGAATTCATCTAGTTGGCAAATGGCAAGCAGTTATCCAAAATGGAATTTATAAAGATCTTTTGCATGAGAAATGAATGAGAGTTGGATACAGAACAGTCAAGGACGGAGAGGGACGCGTCTAGAAAGGTTCTCCACTTCCACTTGAGGGTAGCCAAGTCAAGGTCATCTCTCTCTCTCTCTCTCCTCTTTTTTGTCGGTAAGTCAGGGGCGTTGCAAATTGATTTATTTAGTGAGGTTCAACACTGAAAAAGTCGTTGAGGATAAACAAATTTGGAGACTTGATTGAGTGCTAAACAGGAATGGAATCAGCGACAGACAAGCACTGCGTGAAAACAGAGTCGGCTGCGTATATAATTTAGTTATTCTCAATGGTTAGTAGTGACAGGAAGAATCTCATGTCCTCGCTAATTGTAATTAATTCGGGAGTTCCCTGATTGAATAGGCCAATCATGGTCCTTTGTCGCCTGAGCTTGCATGTAATTGACGTTTCACTCTTTTCCACTTCATTTTTTAATAATATCAAAACTTCATCTCGCAATCCAACTATCCAAGAACGCATATTGTCGTTTTCAGCGAATACAATTCTCTTTTACCTATTAAAAGAAGTTTTTTTATAAAAAAAAAATGATCTTAATCAGGTAGTTATTCGTATTGCAGATAAAGTTTCTATATATACATATATATAGGGCACAGGCGCGGGACAAATTAATCAATTCTGAACGTAGCTTGAGGATGTTATTAATCGCTTGTGCATTTTGATATTTAGGAATCACAGCGCTATTTATGATATTATAAATTGAGAATGGTTTTCTTGTTCATCTTTTGGATGAGCACTGTGAAAATGTTATTAATATCTTGTGCATTTTGACATTTAGAAATCAAAGCGCTGTTTATAACAATATAAATTAGGGATGATTTTTTTGTTCATCTCTTAAATGAGCACTGAGAATGTTATTAATGTCTTGTGCATTTTGACATTTAAGAATCAAAGCACTATTTATGACGATATAAATTGAGGACGGTTTCCTACTCATCTCTTGGATGAGCACATGGTACTCACTATTAAAATGAGATTTGAACCATCTATATTTTAATTTGGATGATCCAAATTTAAAGAATTATTTTATATTAATTTATAAAAATTATAAAATAATTTCAATAAAATTTTTATTTTTACTCTAATTTAAATTTAATTTAAAAATCTAGTTTAATATTAAATTTTTTATAATTAATATATATTGATTATCTATATACACTTTGTATAGTCCAAATATAATATTTGAACTATACAAAGTACATCTAAAAAATTTGATATATTGAATTATAAAAATTTAAATATTAAATTAAATCTAGATCAGATTTAAAATAAAAACTTATTAAAATTATTTTATAATTTTTTTTATTTTTTTTATTTTAATAAATTAATATAAAATAATACTTTAAATTTGAATCATTTAAATTAAAATTTAAATAATTTAAATTTTATTTTAAAGATGAGCACATGATACTTTTCAAGAGATGAAGCCGTTCCCGACTAAATTGTAGCGAAGAGCGAAACAGCTGACAGATAATTCCTTTTCTTAAAATTTGGTAAAAACCCAGAAAGGGAGGTGGGGGAGTAATCCCAAAGTGAGCATGCAGGGCACGTGATCAGATGGGGGCGTCTGGCGGGCGAGGGGCGTCGAACGCGAGGGGTACATGACACGTGTCCTGACATGAGGGGTTGGACAAGTGGAGGGCAATTTTGGCATTCCGGTTAAGGTATGGCTGTGAAGCTTCAGGCGGATGTAAGCGTGGCGGGAAGCGTGCCGTGTGTCTCGGTTTCATGTCAAGAATTCCAGTTGATACACCGGCATTGATTTTATTATAATTTTTTTGGGCCATCGCATCTCATTCATAATCTATTTCTTACATGTTTCACTGAATTTCATTTATCCAAAATTTTAATAAATTTTAAATTTTTATTCTTATTAAACATGTATATTTTAATGACGTACATAGTTTTTATTAACAATATTTTATGAAAGTAAAAAAAAAATTTAATGATGTAATTCATAAGTAATATTTAGGAAAAATTTACCATACCTTATATTATAAATATGATGGAAAGAAAATGAATATGCACATAACATGGGTAACAGGAGATAATTCTAAAACGAATGAAGTGTATGAGATTATTAGGAAGGGAAGAGAAGGGGAGTGGGAGCATGTGGGGGAAAGCGGGAAGGCACGTGTTGTTGCCATTATTCGAAAACCCGGTGGAAGGCAGGCATCCATCACGTGTCGTGTCTTCATGGCAGACATTTTGATTATTCATTAAACTCCTCCGACGTCATTTCATAATTCATCTTCAGTCAATCATCTCATTCCATAGCAGCATACAAGTAACAGCAGCATTTCGTTATTCTCCACATGCATACAAATGCCCATGCATGTGATATTCCCAATCAATCATGCGCCTTTTAACTTAAAACTTATCCACGTACGTTATGCCAAATTTTTGTGGTTAATTAACTTATACATGTGTACCTCTTTTTTTATTCTGCAATTGAAATCATTCAAACACCATGCATGTGACCTCTCCCCAAAACCTCTCAAACCTAGCTCCTGCACCTCCCATGTTCCCAGACAATCGGGTGAATTCTATACTCATTCCAACACTAGACAAGAGGCTTCCTATATTTTAAACAGCCCTTCCATTCTTCGTGCAATTTTATAGCTTTCCTGCCTTTCTAATTCTGCGATTAGTTTTTTGAATTCTGTGTATAAAACAAATAAATACTCATTCACTCCACCGGCCACTATCAATACATTTTACCAAAATAAGCAAACTCTAAAATCCATTAACTATGTTTAACAATTTAATGAGTTTTAACTTTATTAAAGATATGTACTTTTTTTCAACTGCGAGGATGGAAAGAAACACTTGTAATAAAAATTAATAACTTGATTTATAAATAAGACCAATAAATTTTTTTTTTCCTGGGACAGACAGAGGAAGTATATTCATTTCTTAACGGAATGTATTTGCAAGTTAATTAATGTAGTAATGGGGGTTTAGATTGATTGCCAAAAGATAAGAACTGTACTGTGGTGGCTATGCCTGACACGGTAGGTACAAAATCCAAATGGAATAATAGTGTGGACGGAGATGCATGCTAGAGAACCAGACCATGTGCCTCCAAGATAAAGGAGGCTAAGACTTCCTCCTTCGTACAGAGCGCTTCAAAGAGAGTGGGGTCAAATGGTACACATTTAAATGCTACATTCCAATACATGAGACAATCAGTCTTGCACAAAAATGAATCCGATGCTCCGTCGTATCTACTCTTTAGTTAGTTTGCAAATTTCCGTGAAAAAGAGATCATCCTTAAACTCGTTACAGCTCTGGAAATAATTTGGTGGGGGGAGAGAGAGAGTGGGGCTGGTTGCTTGGAACAGAGGATACTGCTCATGACCTTGATTCTGCCTTGAAGCAACCCCCAACAGAACTCCTCCCACCAACACCTCTGCGTTTCATTGCTTTGCCTCCTCCTTCACTTTCAATGCCTTCCCTCTTACCCTCCCACCCCTGCTATAATCGTACGGTTAACAAGATATTTGGCTCTTTTTTGAAGGTCATGAATCATGATAAGAGCATCATTGAATTTTCCCCCACCCCCCACCTGGCTCTAATCACCTTTTTTTTTAAAAAAAAAAACCTTTTTAAGAAGACGGCAGATTACAATGCCAATCATAGCTTCCTAAGCCTGAATGAGTTGGATCTGGGCCCCACTCAACCTCCTTTCCACCTCTTTCTTTTCCCTAAGATTTGCTCAATGTTCAAGCCCCATCGACGAAGTACAAAACCAACCGCCGCTGCCTTCGCATCTTCTCTTTCATTCATTCATATTCAGCCTTCCGCTTAATTCCCCCTCCACTTTTCAAGATTTAGTTCAACTAATCAAGTCACCCAAATAATAACAAAACAGGAATAATTTATGTGGACTTATTTAATTATTGCCTGCCAATATTACAATACCGTGATGACGGGTCCGGACACGAAGCCCAATGTGACCCACAGTCGTTATGGAATTTGGGCCTTTCATAAATGACAGAAATGAATGCCCTCATCAAACAGGCCATGCCCTTCTGCTATTACACCATGTGGGGTGATTGAGAAATGGGACGACCCTTCCATGTCAATCATCCCCCACACATTTAATTTTTGAGGCAGCGTCCTAGTTTGGAGGACCCTGGTTACTTTGGGGGGCAGTATGGACATTTACTCGGTTTGGGAATACTAAATGAAGGAGTGAGTGAAAAGTAATGTCATTATCAGTCACTTGTACATTGATTTTCAGGAGTGAACTTTCAGTCCCTCGCAGCCGTGCATTTCTTGCATACCATGGGAAATGAAACACCTCCCTAATTGACCCCAATCATGGGAGTGAAGTTTTACGGTCTATGTATTTCCTTCTATCTTTAATCATTTCCCATTCTCCATCATTATCTTCCACGTCATCCTCAACATTGTCCTCTTACTCCACTCCTAATCTCTCTCGAGTATGAAAAGGAGGACCACGAAAAGTTTATACATAGACGAGGCATTATTTCAATTTCTTTTATAAGTAAACACACACACACACGCGTATGTATAATAATAAATAGTACTAATACAAAGTATTCGAAGCAATCCCTTATGAAATACCCTTCAGCTGGATGAGAAGTGAAGGGTGCTATTTCTGTGTATGACTTTTTTCTTTGGGGTCTCATTAGTCTCATTTTGGAGAAGTGGGCATGTGCCGACAAAATACAAAGAAGTGCTTTCTCGTCACTGACCTCGTAAAGTTGCGTAACCCAGAGAGCCATTCTCCACACAGAATGAGAGCGACGTTTAGTTTTAATAATTATATTAGATATTAGATTAGATGATGGCACCATTCACATCTTCATCAATGTTTTTATGTTCCCCGCTTACTAAGAATAACAAGTCATCGTTTCAGTGACTTCCAGACGTAGTCCTACTATTGTTACTTGTGCTCTAAAAATCAGCCCTTGACGGATGCACTGCCACAAACAATGTCTCTCTGAAATTACTAAAATTCACTTATCGGAAGGCTCTACAGCATAAGCTGTCCGCCATAGAAGAAAATAAGGTAAGTTAGCCGTTATGGAGTGAAATAGATATGATGATCGATCATACTCAGAATCGTAATTGATCAACTATACGAACGCAATAAATTGACCAATCCAAGGGCTGTGGTGGTCGGATCTCTCAACACAATTGTCACGGATTGCACAGCTGAGGGGCCGAAAATTTTGACAAATTCGATACTATTTTAATTTCATTTGAACCCCAATATCCATTGATCGTTACTTTCTTGCTTCTAATCTTATCCCCATCACCAGTATCACCAGAATCAAGTTGATAATAAACTGCATCACAGGGGATTGGATGTGACTTCAACCTGTTGTTATATGCCAAATCAGAATATGAGAAGTTAACGGTGACGTGGGTTACGGTGAACAGCGATGAATGTCAGGATCAGATAGGAGGAAGGAGAAGGGCAGAGTGATGAGGGAGATCTACCCCAACATATACGGCAAAAATCCAACTTGAAAAATAACTACAGAAATAGTTGTCAACATCAATCCTTTCGAGATCTAGACCACACAAGTCTCGCTCAATGGGAGAAGATCTACATGAAAACCACAGTTCCAAACTTCCAATGTAAGCCCAGAATGCACAATTGTACACTTTTTCCAGGCCAGACTAGGAAAGCATATTTCTTTTCACTTTTTCTCGTTGTCACATGTTCCAAAGATTTCATTCTCACCACCTTCTTTCACCTTTCCGGATGAGGCACTAGATCTCATGACTTCTATTTCAATCTGGCTTTGTCTCACTTTCATCCCTGAATCCTTGCAAGTTCTTTTTCCGTGCCAAATTTCTAACTTTTCTTTTTTTTCAATCAACATCCAACTTTTGTCAACTAGGCAAGCGTTGCTGCCCATAGGACTAGTTCCAAGAACGTATATTGGGCTTGAGTAGGAGGCCCATAAGCTCGGATGGTTTGTCTATGAAAAATTTACCACAAAAAAGTCATCCCAAAAAAAAAAAAAGGCCTACACGCACCGTAGCATATTTGTTCATGGCAGGACAACAGAAATTTATCTGACGTGATATCATTCAATCTTTTATCGATTGATTGATATCTGAGAAGATATCATTCAATAGAATAAGGTGGATGCTTCAATGGCCCAAAAATATTTTAAAAATATCATATCCAAAAATCCCTCTTCCTCGACTTTTGTTTCCGTCTGAGATCCATGTCCGTAACAAGTTACAAAACTTTCATATCAAACAAGAATAAACGCGTTCCAACTAACAAATGCACAAATGCCTCAAAGGCGCACCACTATACCAGAAGCGAGGAAACCACAGTTAAAGGCGAATGCCACTTCATTGGACCCCAGAAATCTGCCAATCGAAATCAACATCAGCCCCATTTGATATTGCAAAGCTAGTTGCATCCAAAAGGCTATTGAAGAATTTAAAATCATTACCATTGTACAATAAATTACAGTAACAGCAGCTGTGACTTGTGATCAATGCCATTGAAGATGAAGGTGCCAGACATAGGTACAAATTGCCTTGTTATTAGCTGCAAAGGAAATCGCAATTTAAGATAAAGACACAAGACGAACAATTCCAATGGCAAAATATGTAGTGGATTAGAAAGAAAAAGGAACTTGTTAGCAGTTTTTTATACTTTTACCATTTCCTTCTCCAAATAAGATATGACATGTATGATTTTCTAATCATAATAGAATAAATGTATGATTTTACCATAAAGATCAGTAGATCATATACTTGGTATATTTTATTTGGAGAACCTAATAACAAAAATGCAAAGAAATACACAACCAATGCATTAGAAAGCCTGTAAGGAAGTTCATAACTCAAAAGGAGATTTTACTTTTCGAGATGCCAATTTGGAGTCCAAAGCTCCCTTTAAAAGGTTGGCTTGTTTTCATGATCAACAAGTCGTCTTCTTTTCTTTTCTTTTTTTAATAGTCAGACAGCATGATAGGATTCAAGATAAGTAGAAAGAAAAAAGCACATAAGTCTTATTAACATGTGAAATCAAAATCTAACTTTATAATATTAATAAGAGAACATAGAACTGATAGAAGAAAGTAAAAGAAATAAATCTATCAAGATAATATAAAACAAGTACCCACGCTTAGAAGAATCTCCAAAGGGCCAAAAGTCTCAAAAGTCTGTTTTATGCATGATATGCCTGCTTCTAAGTTGCTACGTATATTTATAATGCTAACTATAATATAAAATAATGAATAAAATCTAGATAACTAGATAATTAAATAAAACTGAATAAAATCTCCTAAAATCTATATCTATATAAAATACTAAATAAAATCTAAAAAACTAAATATCCTAATAAAATTAAATAACTAGATATCAGAATAAATGTATAGATATCTAAACATATATCTGAATATCTATATAAAATCTAGATAACTAAATACCTAAATAAAATCTAAACAATATTATTAAATAGAAAATATCTAAAATAAATTAAAAATAATATCTATTTATAATATCTATCTTCCCAAATCAACCATTATCTCAAAACTCTATCACAGCGCTGTTCACTAAGGGTAGTACAGATTTGACCATCAGCTATATAAAATTTTATATCTATAAGCGGGGGAATGACAGTTAATACCGAAAGATCAATTTAACAATGGATGCCAAAACATTCTGAAGGAAGATGAGTTGTTATTAAGACTCATATTTGCAATTGTCTAGATAGATATTTGCAACTCATTTATCTTTAGAATTTTATTTTATTTTTTTTTCCCTAATCCCATGCTTGTTGCATGGACAAATACCTTCAGTTATTATTGAATTTCATAGAGTTAGCAAAGGAAAACGGAAGAAGGGTACTTTAAATTTACAAAATCAAAATTTACATGTATTTATGAATAAACCCAGCGCCCAGACACAGGTTATTCCAAGTTCCCCTAGTCTTACCAGTTTTAACTGGTCCAAATTTAAGTGATCCGATGGTGTGACCCAGGCTGTCCACCTTGCCGAGTACCAGTTCATTCTCTAGTCGGAGTTATAAATCATTGCTTCATGTGAAGTTTCCATAGCTTGAGCTCGTAAAGGTTCATAAAAGACTGAACTAAGACTAGAGGTCATTCCTTGTATACAAAGAAGCGTAACATTAGAAGCAAAGTCGATCACAAACTTCTCTTCTCTTCTATTTTCTATTTCTATTTTTTTCTATTTTTGGGTGAGTGAATTTTATATGTAGCAATCTTTCTTGACAGGACCAAGCTTTCAGGGTTCATTAGATTTGATTTTCCCAAATCACACTAGATTTGACAACATAAATATAGAAAAACTATCCCAGACCAGGGGCAGATGGTACATTTTTCCCGAAAGTGCCAAGCTTTCAGGGTTTGCTTAGATTAGTTTTCCCAGATCACATTACTTTGGACAACATAAACATAAAAGTAGCACCATCCCAGGCCAGAGGAAGAATTGCAAACCTTGATTACTTCTTGCGATGCTATTCCTCCAACCAAAGCAGCAACAGCATGGAGCTCTGAAGCACCAAATCGGCACATCTCATTTACAAGGTCCTCTGCCAAAGTGGCACCATTGCATCCCAAGTCATTGAGCAGGCCACTAGCTGTACTCTTCAGTCGAGGTATGTCCTCATCCATAGCACTGAAGAATATCAACAAAAAAAGCAAGAAAGACCTTCAAGGAAGAATCCTGATATGATATAGCAGGACTATATTAAGAAATTCATGAAGCAGGTCTTGCCTGTCATACTGCCCAGGAAAACTGTTATAGTTAGCAGCAAAACGGTCAACAGCTCGCAGCAAAATATAAATTCCAACAGCAGTGCTGCACACATAAAAACAGGAAACCACTATTTCAGCAAGTATCCTCGCAGACTAATTCCTTTTTTTTTTCTTTTTTTCCTTTCCTTCTCCAGAAGCATCAGTAATAAAATAAATATAACCTGTAATCCTCATCAGTTAGATACTTTTGTAATTCAGGTAGGTTTGGAGAATTAAACTCATCTTCAATCAGGCGAAACCTGCAAATCTACAAAATAAAGAATAGTGTCCATATGAAGACTCAAACAAACATTCTGGTGCCTTCAATTACTCCCACAAAATTCACCAACTTCAGTTAATATTAGATAAAAGAGGCTTTGGGGAAAAACATATCTAGTTGTAAGATACTCATGCATTTACCGCATCCACATCATCAGTAACAACAATAATAAAAATCTCAACCAAAAATTAACAAAAGGAAAGCTCAGAGCATCTTGCATTCATATTGTTTTGTCCCCAAAATGAGACTGTATATTATACATGTAGATTAAAGGGCCTCAGAAAGCATGGACATTTGATCACAGAACAAATTAAGCATGTCAGGTTTATAATACTTTCATCATTGCAATCTACAAACAATTTGACTATCTGCACTTACTTTGAGCTTTCTGGCGTTTTTACAGAAGCTTTTGATTGTTGTCCTTGGTATGCTATTTGAATCTCTTCCAATTTTTTTTAAAATACTTCTCACCCGTCGTTCAATTGCAACAAAATCAGCTTCAGCCTTGGCTTGATAGATATTCTGCAAATTCACATACTGCCTGCAGGAGGGTAGATATAATTCTGGTAAATAATTCATCTTCAAGAGAAAATATAAGTTACCTGATACGAGATTTGGCTACTAACTCAGTAGAAGATGTCATATCTGGTATTGATCCTTCAAGGGGTATCTCCCCACCACGTTCATTTGCAATGAATTCCTGGGCAGGATGATAAAAAGTGTTCCATTATGCAACTGAATCTTGAGAAACCAAACAGTCAGGAATGTAAATTGCACAAAAAAAGGAGAAAAATATATTTCCCAGGCTTTAATCAATTACCACTTGACACTACAACATATTACAGTACTATATAAGATATAAATGCAGCTTTCTCAAGAGGGGGGAAAAAAATCAAAGCAGCAATTCCAGAAGCACCAACCTTCAGAGCTGCCACCAACACCCAAAAATCTGATGACTTAGAATCCACTTCAGCAGAGCTATCATTAATTATCAGTTGCAAATCTGCACCTGAAAAGGTATATGCTCATTGAATTTTAGTCTAATATAAATTCAATTGGAAATAAGGCAGTAAATGTTCAGACCTATTCAAAAATTCTGACTAAAAATCAAATTTTCAGAAACAAAAATCAGGAACTTTTAAAGAGTTCATCATAATGACCCTCACCTCCAACCAAAGGTAGTACATGCTTCCTCAACAAACATTCAAACTTTAACATAGTCAAAGTTCTCAAGATAGAGAGACAATTTTCTTTTGAAAAAGCCCATGATTTCATAAGAAAACTTAAAAATTAGGAGCTCAAAACCTGCATAAGTAACAATAGTCCAACTGTTCCTTATTTTGCTACCTCCCACCCAAACAATTCAAGGATTTTATAAAACTTAAACCAAGAGTTCACAAAGAAAGTATAGGGGCTGTTTGAAACTATTTTATTTTATCGTTTTGAAAATTGGTGTTTTGTAGAACATGTTCTAAAAATAAAAAAATAATAAAAATAAGTGTTTTTCTCATTCTCTCTTGTCCTCCAAAACAATAATCACGGAACACCTAAAAGTTGTTTCCATTTTTCTGTTCTCCAAAACAATATTTCATTTTTTTGTTCTCAAAAATACTTTTTGAAAGCACGTTACCGAACAGATTTTTTTGTTCTTTTATTTTACTTTTAGAGAACAGAAAACTGTTCCAGAATAGGTTTCCAAACAATCCCTATACTGCCGTGCCATCTAAAACTAATTTGTGGGATGCTAAGACTCCCTTGACAATAAATTCAAGGAAATGGAATCAAGGACAAACTAGCTTTTATTCATTCTAAAAGTAACTAAATGCATCTGACTAAACTCAAAAATTTTTCAAGAATATAAAAGTAAAAAGTTTGTTGAATCTATCATGAACATGGACGATAGACGTTATAATATTAATGCTAGGTCGTTGCCCGTAAGTAACGCGCTGCATGGCTCGAATACAGTGATAAGTGAGTTAGAGCCGCTGCATCGGCGCCCGGATGTAGTGTTAAATGAGCAAGGGCTACCGCGTCATTCTGGACGCACGCGGCTAAAGAAGTTAGTCCATGAGAGCAAAATTAGATTTGGTACTTGAATGTTGGGACATTAAATTGTAAATCTGTAGAGGTTGTAGGGGTTATGATTCAAAGAAAAATCAATATCCTTTGCCTGCAAGAAACAAAAATGGCGTGGAGAAGAAGCTAAGGATATTCAAGGTTACAAACTTTGGTATACAGGAAAAGTAAGTGCACGCAATGGAGTAGGCATCATTATAGATAAGGAGTGGAAGAAGAACGTTGTAGAGGTTAGCAGAATTGGAGACAGAATTATTTCTTTAAAAATGATAATTGGACGTGAGACTGTTAATATTGTTAGCGCTTATGCGCCGCAAGTCGGGACAGAAGCCAGTCTTAAGGAATTATTTTGGGAGGATCTGGAAGGGTTGATTCGACGCATACCACAGAGTGAAAAGATTTTTATTGGAGGAGACTTTTAATGGGCATGTCGGGAGGGAAGCCCGGTCAGTATGCGAGGGTGCATGGTGGTTTTGGTTTTGGAGAGGTAAACAATGAAGGACAAACTCTTCTTGATTTCTCATTGGCGTATGATTTTAAGATTGCCAACACTTGTTTCAAGAAGAGAGATGAGCATCTTATCACTTACAAAAGTGGAGCCTCAAGGTCACAGATTGATTTTCTTTTGGTTAGGAACACAGATAGAAGACTTTGTAAAAATTGCAAGGTGATCCCCGGAGATGCTGTAACGAACAACATAGAGTCCTAGTCCTTGATGTGTGTATTTTAAGTAAAATTCAAAAACGTCGACAAGTAGTAACACCAAGGATTAGGTGGTGGCAATTAAAAGGTGAGAAGCAAGATATTTTCAAGTGAAATCTTTTGGATAAAGGAATTGGAAATCTCAGGGAAGTGCTAACATTATGTGGGAGGATATGGCTAAAAAGATACGGAAGGTTGCAAAAGTGGTTTTGGGAGAATCAAAAGGTTTTGGTCCAAGAGATAAGGAGTCTTGGTGGTGGAATAATAGTGTACAGGACAAAATCAAGTATAAGAAAAACTGTTTTAAAGCCATACATTTGTGTAACAATGAGTAAAATTGGGAGAGGGTACCGTATGGCTAAGAAGGAAGCTAAGAGAGCTGTTGGTGAAGCTCGTTCTAAAGCTTTTGAAGAATTTTATAAGAGCCTTGAGACGAAGGAAGGAGAGCGAAATATTTATAAGATTGCCAAGAGTAGGGAAAGAAAATCAAGAGATCTAGAACAGGTAAGGTGTATTAAGGATGAAGAAGAGGAAGAACTTTAATTACAGATGATGAAATTAAAAATAGATGGGAGACTTATTTTTCTAAACTTTTCAATGATGGAGAGAGTTCATCTAGTAACTTGGAGGATTTAGTAATTGGTGAGGGAGAATAAAATTTGTCATTCTATCGAATAATACGTGATAAGGAGGTAAAAGAGCTCTTAAGAAAATGGCAAATGGTTAAAGCCAACGGACCTGATTGTATATCTATCGAAGCGTGAAAATGTTTAGTGTGAAGAAGGGGTGAGATGGTTAACTAAGTTATTTAATGTGATTTTACAGTCCAAGAAAATGCTGATGAGTGGAGGAGAAGTACATTAATTCTTATTTAAAAAATAAAGGAGATATTCAGAATTGTACTAACTATAGAGGGATTAAACTCATGAGCCACACAATGAAATGATTGGGGAGAAAGTAATTGAGAACAGGTTGAGACTAGAGACAAGTATTTCTGAGAATCAGTTTGGTTTTATGCCAGGTAGATCAACTACAGAAGCGATTTATCTACTAAGGAGATTAATGGAAAAGTATCGTTGTAAAAATAAAGATCTACACATGGTTTTTATTGATTTAGAAAAAGCTTATGACCGTATACCAAGAGAAGTGCTTTGGAAAGCGTTAGAACAAAAGGGAGTACGGATTGCTTATATTAAAGCCATACAAGATATATATGAGGGGGTAAAACTAGTATAAGAACGCCTAGTGGTCAAACAAAGAATTTTCCTATAAAGATTGGACTACATCAGGGATCATCTCTGAGTCCTTATTTATTCGACTTAATCTTAAATGTTTTGACGGAACATATTCAAGGGGAAATTCCGAAATGTATGCTCTTCACGGATGATATAGTTCTTATAGCAGAGACAAGAGAAGAGGTTAATTGCAAACTTGAGTTATGGAGGAGGACATCGGAGTCAAAAGGTTTTCGTCTGAGTAGAAGTAAGACGACGAAATATTATATTGTAAATTGGTAAAGGACTATTCGACATAATTTGGAAGTGAAATTGGGAGACTAAATTATACCTCAAGTGGAAAAAGTTTAGATATTTGGGAGCCATTATTCAAAATGATGGCGAAATCAGTAGAGATATTTCACATAGAATTCAACCTGGGTGGTTTAATTGGAGAAAAGCTAAAGGAGTTATTTGCGACCGTAAGGTGCCTAATTAAACTTAAAGGAAAGTTTTTATCGTACT